CTACCCGATGTCTGAAAGCATTCACCCGAAACCCTACCGCAGGGTACTGCGCAAGAAGACCCGATGTAGCTTGATCTATTCCCCGTAGCAATAGTGAAGGGTCTGGGAGAGATGCCCCCAACTCTCTTACACGCTGCAGGTGCTGCATCCAACGTCTCAGCATTGTCACTGCCGCCCCTACCGATTTAGCCACTTCAGGGTTCACAAGCTGATGAAGAAGCATTGCTCGCTCTGACGAGCCTCCCGGCTGATACAGGCACTGTATCCTGAAGATAAGTGCTGCCGTAGACAGCCAGCGGTTGGACACGGCTTCATCTCTCACATGACTGGGAACTGCGGCTAGGACCAATGATACGGCTCTGGACTCTACCCTTTGGTATTTGAAGACGTCGAAATGCGCTACAACATCAGCAGGGTCAAGACCTAATCTGTCTAAAGGATCCGCAACTAGCCAACGTTGATATTGGGCTGTTGCCGCAGACTCCACACTGGCATACCAACTCGCTGCAGTGGGGCTTAGCCCTGTAAAAATTTGGCGAACTTGCGCCAACCAGTTGCCGCACGTTACTGCCGACGTGGCAATGTCAGCTTAGGCAGATCAAAGATGTACTTCGCTGGCTCCTCCGGCCTCTCCGGCATGGATGCACTGGACCCTGACTGCCCACTCAACCCTACAACCTGTCCTGATTGGGGGCAGGCCCTCGAATCGGGAGGCGGCCCTGGCGGAGGTCTGATGACAGTACCACCTGGCGAAACAGGATAGCCGTCGCTACTCACACCCCAAGTTCCCACCCCTCTGCCGCTGGACCTAGGAGTATGAAACCCTTGGCTACCCTCTATGGCCCCACCTACGGACCCTGGCACTTCACCTACCCCTTGACTTAGTACAGGAGGTTGACGAGGCATCGTCGCCGGTGCAACGAAGGATGTTGCAGCTAAGGAAGACCTCTGATATGCGTTCAGTGGCAAGTGACTTTGCAGAGATTGGCTGGCAGCTTCAGGCATGGGATGGCTCACAGCCATCATGCGGGGAGGCACAGTCTGCACCTCTGCTGCAGGCAAAGCTCTCTGGACAACAGGCTTGGGGACTGCAACAGCATAGCGATCCAAGTCGGCCCTTGCCGAAGCCCCTTCCCCGGACCCTAACCCAAACGCTTCACCCATACCTCTCACTTCTATCCCTTCACGGTGGTTGGGGAGCACCTCTGGACCCAACATCGCAAAGGGTTGCACAGCACTCCTCCACGGAGCTACTTGAGCACCCCCATGACCCGGCGTAAACGACGCAGGCGAATGCTGTACAAACTCTGGCACACGCTGTACAAGGTCCGGTTCAGGGCCAGTAGCTCGCGTACCTCCACTGTGCCAGCTGGATTGCGTCTCCAACTGCGCTTGCTCCAGACGTGCCCGGAGATTCCGGTTCTCCTCCAAGACCTGTCGCAACAATGCCTCCATATCCGACGGCCAGCCCTCTGCGACTGGCACAAGCTCACGAGGATCACCGGGTAGCGGTCGACCTGTCAACCCTTCATGCTCACTCAACCGGTCGGGAAGAGGAGCAGGTTGAGCACTCTCTGCTGACGCCCGCACCTCCACTGGCCCATACTCTGTAGGCTCTGAGGCCTCCGCGCGCCAACCCTGCCCCACGTCGCACTGTGCTGTTCTGGAGACCACCGCCTCAGGGCGAATCTCAGTCCGATGCTCCAGTCGGGCCACACGGACTGGTGTAGCACTGAAATCGCCTTCGCTGTAAGGCGGCTCCAGCTCCCTACCTGCCTGATTTGTATCTCCTAAGCCAGCTTCATCTATCTCCACATTGACCCGTTGGGCGTCCTGGTCCAACGTGCTTGGCCGACTCCTCAACAGGTCAATCTCCGTTTGCACCTTCTGCGAATGGAAAGGACTCGCCACAGGCTTAGCAGCTTGGCCCTGCTCTAATGCTCCAGGCGACGCCTCGCCCTGCCAGCTTCCGCTAGTAGCTGCTGTAGGATCACCACTGCCGGTTTGGCTCAAGGCTGTTTGATACGCGGTCTCAGCATGCACATCACCCATTTCTGGGTCAGGCCCAGCGCTGGTCACTCTTCTATTCTTCAAGAAGGAGTCCATGGCACGCGCGATTTGGACCCCGTCACCCACACGATGTAACACTTAGACCCTGAAACCCTTAAGCCAGTCTCAAACTCTAGAGGCTATCTACGGCTGATAACCTACGTAAAGTAGGAAAAGACCCAACGGTTTTGCTTTTAGGACCACCCCCAATTGAGTTAACTGGCTAGCGGAGTTCCTACCAAACCCCCTATAACCCTACCCAAGAGGCCGGATCCATGCCTTTCTCGAACAAAAACAGCCTGCAGATGCGTACCTTGCCAGGGAGCTCACGCACTAAACCCTAAAAGGCCCCCAACCCCAAAAGGAGATGTTGGTCGCCAAGCCCTAAGCCCTAAAAGGAAATGTTGGTTGCCAAACCCTAAACCCTAAAAGGAGATGTTGGTTGCCAAGCCCTAAACCCGAAAAGGAGATGTTGGTTGTCAAACCCTAAACCCCAAAAGGAGATATTGGCTGCCAAACCCGAAGCCCTAAACGGAGATGTTGGTTGCCAAGCCCTAAACCCTAAAAGGAGATGTTGGTTGCCAAACCCTAAACCCTAAAAGGCCCTCAACCCTAGAAGGAGATGTAAACCCGAAAAGGAGATGTTGGTTGTCAAACCCTAAACCCCAAAAGGAGATGTTGGCTGCCAAACCCTAAACCCTAAAAGGAGATGTTGGTTGCCAAACCCTAAACCCTAAAAGGAGATGTTGGTGGGAAAACCCTAAACCCTAAGAGGAGATGCTTGTTGCCAAGCCCTAAGCCCTAAAAGGCCCTAAACCCTAAAAGGAGATGTTGGTTGCCAAACCCTAAACCCTAAAAGGAAATGTTGGTGGGAAACCCCTAAACCCCCTAAGGAGATGCTGGTTGCGAAACCCTAAACCCTGAAAGGCCCTAAACCCTAAAAGGAGGGGAAATCCCTAAACCCTAAAAGGAGATGTTGGTTGCCAAACCCTAAACCCTAACAGGAGATGTTGGTTGCCACACCCTAAACCTTAAAAGGAGATGTTGGTTGCCAAACCCTAAACCCTAAAAGGAAATGTTGGTGGGAAAACCTTAAACCCGAAAAGGAGATGTTGGTTGCCAAGCCCTAAACCCGAAAAGGAGATGTTGGTTGCCAAACCCTAAACCCTGAAAGGAGATGTTGGTCGCCAAGCCCTAAACCCTAAAAGGAGATATTGGTTGCCAAACCCTAAACCCTAAAAGGAGATGTTGGTTGCCAATCCGTAAACCCTAAAAGGAGATGTTGGTTGCCAAACCCTAAACCCTAAAAGGAGATGTTGGTTGCCAAACCTTAAACCCTAAAAGGAGATGTTGGTTGCCAAGCCCTAAGCCCGAAAAAGGCCCTAAACCCTAAAAGGAGATGTTGGTTGCCAAGCCCTAAACCCTAAAAGGAGATGTTGGTTGCCAAACCCTTAACCCTAAAAGGCCCTCAACCCTAAAAGGAGATGTTGGTTGCCAAACCCTAAACCCTAAAAGGCCCTAATCCCTAAAAGGAAATGTTGGTTGCCAAGCCCTAAACCCTAAAAGAGGTGTTGGTTGGCAAACCCTAAACCTCAAAGGAGATGTTGGTTGCCAAACCCAAAACCCTAACTGGAAATGTTGGGTTTGACCAAGCCTCAACCCCAAAACGAAATGTTGATTACCAAAACCCTGAATGATGCCACAACCTGAAAAAGACACAGATAACCCCCCAAAAAAAGACGCAGATAACCCAGTGAACCGCCCAAAATCGTGGCAGGTCCCACGAAACCGAGGAAAAAAAGACGCAGATAACCCAGAAAAAAAGACGCAGATAACCCGAAAAAAAAAGACGCAGATAACCCAAAAAACAAAGACGCAGATAACCTCTTCTCCTATAAAAGCTGCACCTTGAAAGAGTTGTTCCCCAACAATTTTTCACCAAAGGATCCACAGCCTGATCTGCCACCTGAAAAGAGGCAAAGCCCACCTCACGGAGAATACCACGCCCCAGGTTTATTCTAGGAAAAGTCCCCAACAATCTAGGCACGCGCGCTTCAACACTTTATTGACAAGCTGGAGTCGGTTGATTTTTTAACAGCATCAGCGCAGGACACAATGTAACAACACCTTGCAAAGCGGCAGGACCACCTCAAAGCGACACCCCGGAATACGTGAGTCTGAAGGGGCTTTTTGATCAGATTCAAAGCGACTGAAGAGACACCCAAACGACGGCAGCCCAAACAAAGTGCCTCGGAAAGGCCCTGGTCCTCCTGCCTCGTAAACCCAACACCTCTTGCAGGGGTTCTGGGGATTGCACACTCTGCGCGGGACGCTCAGAAGACTCCATCACTATGGTGCGAAGGGTTTGCAGCATTCATCTTGCAACATATCGAAAAAGCAAAGCGACACCCCAAGCTTTCTTGCTACATGCATACATGCAGAGCAACAACACCCTTGTAAAGCGCCGGGACCTCCTGAAAAGCGCACCCTCTGATACGCGTCCATCTCCCTTTGAACGGACTTTAGACCGATGCTGTATAGCAGTACTGGACGCGCGGACTTCATTGGCCTCATAGTCAAGCGGAATCTCCGGATTTGCAGAGTCATTCGCAGGTTCTCCGCAGGATCCATGACATCAAGTCCACCTACTCCAGGGTTTGGAAGCTGCTCAAGCCCACAGCCACAATCCACAACACAAGAGCCGGCACGCCGGCCAAGCAGCCGGTGCCCCTGTCATTTTGAAAGCAACTGTAGATTTGCATTTGTCATCTGGTGGCTAGCAGCTTCCACCCCCACTTTCGAGCTCACTTGCAGTAAATATGAGTGGGAGCAGCTAAGTTCGGGCTGACAGCCGCCATAACCGCACACAAAAGACATTGAACTGTACGTCTGCACTGTTAGTTTTGGAACATCTGCCTTCGGCACGCGTGTCATGATTTTTGTCTTTTCAGGCGCAAGCATTGTGTGAGAAGTTGCCAGTGGATAATGGACAAGGAGGTGCATCAGTGCACCGTACATGTTTTCGGTTGTTGTCATTGGATAGCACTACGCGGCTGAATGTTTCGCTTGCTTTGCATGTGATATGGCATGAAGAATTCCGGCTTCATTGCGGCAGGTGGTGCTCTTCTGCAGACGTTTTGCGAAAAGGTTCGAGACTTCTGCAAGGAGTGTGCAAAAGGCATACCAAACCTCATTTTGATTCATTTCAGCTTCTAACATCACGGACTGTCCCGGCAAGTCGCGATTTTGATGCCCGGGCACGTGTTTCCCGCACTTGTTCCCCTGCCTAGTGCGCTCTGGCAGCTCTAAGCCTTCAACTCTAAACCCTAAACGTTCAGTCGTTAAGCATGATGACAGGAGCATTGCGGGGTTCCACCCGCAAAATTCCACATCCAGAGCCCGTTCGTCGTTCAGGCTCGTGGGCTTAACACACGTTGCAAAGGACTGGAGGCAGCATACCGCTTTAGCCGCTTGCAGCTCGGACACTTGGACGCTGTTTTGACGAACCTTCTAGTCTCTTCCAGCACCGCATCAGGCAACTTGATGGCTTCCTACCGCATCCTACGGCATCCCACAGTCCTCGAGCAATTCGAGCACTGCACTGCCGTTACAAAGTGTTCTGATAGCCCAGTCGGAGAGCTGTATGTTGCGGTCACCGTGATGGTGCCGCAGCATGAATCTATGTACCGCATTTTGCGATGCACTCATCTCTGATCCCATTGCGTCATATGAGTCATATGATGTACCTACAGGGGCCAGGGCTGACGTGGAAAATCAGGTTTGAGATGCACATATTCTCTGGCCACGATGCATCCTGGAGTACAGTCAATGTGGCTACCAAATGCGCAGACATTCACAGATCATTGCAGTACTCCTCGTCTCACTTCCAGCGCTGACCAACTCAGCCATGTCAGTTGCTTGAAAGTTGGCGACTTTGCAAGTTCTGAAAGCACATGTGCTCGTGACAGCCAACTCACAGGCTGTGCGTTCTTTCTGAAAATAACCTCTGCCATTCGCAGTATTTGTTCATGTTACCTCTTGATATGGTCTGAGACATGTCTTTGAGCAAGAACGGTTTGCACAACCTGGCAGCAGCTGGTTTGGTCTACAGTTGGGAGTTGTGAGTGGGTGACCCAAATGCAGCTCAACATCGCTCAACATCGCTCAACATCGCTCAACATCGCTCAACATCGCTCAACATCGCTCAACATCGCTCAATTCTCCGGTCGTCTTCAAAGAACCTTCGAGCCACACACGCAGAACTCAAGACATTCCTACCCGGGCTTACCCTAAACTACGCCCACTCAACCTCAAACTCAAGCCCGAAGGAATGAAAAGACGCACATGCTTGATAGGAAAATCATGCCAATAAAGAGGACTTGCGTTAAGAAAACATGCGAATCTTTTCCAAATCCGTCATGTGAGCATTGTGCTTGAAACGGGGGGGGGTGGGGTCTGACAATACCAACACCGCACCTTTTCCTGTGACGCCTTGCAACCTTGCCTCACAAACAACAATAAACAATATCATGTCGTAAAGAGGACTCGTCCTGCGAGCATTGTGTTTGCAAATTAGGGGGAGGGGGGTGTGCCCCTTGTTTTCTTTTGAAAATCTCTGCCCCCCTCACCCCGCGCTTTTGTTTTGTTTCTTTTGCCGCCTTGCAAGCTTGCTTCATAGCGAAGATCATGCCCCAAAAGTAGCTCTTCCGTTTTTTCTATTTCTTTGAAGCCTTGCAAGCTTGCTCAAGCAGCATCATGCCAGAATTTGTCACTTTGGCATTGTGTTTGCAAATGGGAGGGGGGGGCACCCCCCCCCCCCCCTCCCCACCACTTGGGAGGGGGGGGCCCCCCCCCCCCCCCCTCCCCACCACTTGTGTTTTATCAGGAAAATCCTCCGTGTAAGGAAATCGCGATGTCCTCTAAAACCTTTCAAAATGTCTCCCTCTCTCTCTCTCACTGTACCTGTGTAGTTCAATAGGAAAACAATATGGTTTCTCGCTTTTTTGGCCGGTTTGATTCTCCGGGATGCTGTGCAGTCACAACTCCCGAAATTATCTCATTTGACAGATGTGGCAAATAGCGCCACACGCAGTCGTAGCAATTTGACATCGTGTTCTGTGCGAAAGATCGGTGGAAGAGATGGTTTGAATACTAATCAATCTATCTGTTTTGAGAACACGATGTGTCAGCCTTGAAGTTCGCGTGACAGCCAATAGCTTTTTCCTGGGTTTTGTACGCGGAGCTCCGTGCGAAGACCATAAGATGCGATTGAAGCAGGATCTGCATTCAAGAGCTTGTTCAGCTTTCAGTTCAGGTTAATTCCATGAGCTGTTGCTGATCTAGAGATCAGACGGACGTCAATGAGGTAACGAGCCCCTGCAAATCTTGTACCCGTACATTCAGTATTGTCTCCCAAAAAAATTGGACGGCCCCAAACCACTGCATGGGCCCAAATTACCACTCGTTACCACCCACAGAACGTAAGCTAGGCTCAGCGAGGCTTAGTGAGGCTGCGAGACTGCATTGAGAGATTGTCGCACGGGGCTCCTCCTAGCAAAGAAGATTTGTTTTGAGTGCGTCGCAACCCTGCGTTGCTGAAGCTTGGTCTTCCAAGCCCGGTTGCCTTCGAACGTCCCGAGTTTGTACAGCTTGTGTGTAAAGTTTCGGCACGGGTCATTTCCCGCCAGACTGTCGCTTCCATCGCTGTTTGTCAATAAGTGTAAATGGTTGGCATTGTCGCGTATTGCTCATTTGTGTGATTTTAGATCCACGCATGTCTGGCGTCTGTGAGAACATCAAGAGTCAAGACCCTCCAGTTTCCGTGATGCAAGATTCAGTTTGTGCCACGCGTGCTGCCACGGCCACTTGTGAGCAGGCACACTGCCGTTGCTGACTGATTGTGCTCACACCGTGCTTCGCCGGAAAAGATGCCGTTTCTGTTTCTTTGCTCAAGAGCACTCGCAAGGCGAGCACGCGTGCATATTTGGATAGCAGGATACTGGAGAGCTCCCAGACACCTTTGTCTACCAGCTTTGCTTGTGTTCATGATTTGTGTTTATGAGGTGCGCATCGATCCTCGCACGATTGGCGGCCTGAATCCGAGAGACTCCACCCCCGCCTCAAGCCCACTCATTGATATGATCTTTTTCAAGGCCCCCCTGTGCTACCACTTCCTCTTGCTGATTCGGGTTCAGGGCACCACTTTCCAGGAGCTTCGTGCACGCCATCCGCTCGATCGCATCGAAAGAGAGCTTCCCTTGTTGCAGGCATTTATGGGACAGATGAACATGGTGCCTGTTCTTGGCGAGTCCTTCAATCAGGCGGAGTCTGCTTGAAGGCGTGTCAGCTCACTTCGTGGATCCTTTTCAGGTGTTTCCTTGTCTCATCGCGTTGCTTTGCTGCTGCAACGTCTTCAACGACACCTGGCCTTATCAGCAAGACCGACTTGATCCGCCTTGACAAGCACGACAGAAGTCACCAGCATTGCAGTGCAGCACACTTGAGCGTTAGGACATGCTAGGGCCAGGGGGCGAACGTGGCACCTCGAGCTTCAAGCTTTGTTTTGCCCTGCTGCTTTAGGGCGGCCTCTCTCGCGTGCGTTCGCGCATGAGCAGAGTTGGCGGATGTACTTGGCGAGAAGAGACCATACGATCGGTCGGCCAAAGCTGGTTCAATCCCATACGAGAGCAGACGGGTATATGTTTCCGGTTCTAAGCCGGATGAGGCACAGGCACAGACTCAGCTCAGCCCTCCTGGCTGGCTCCCCAGAACAGGCTTAAATCCGGTTTCAACCCCATACGCGAGCTCCCGCGCAACCACGTGGCTGACCTCGACACGCGCACGACGAGTTTGACGATCCAGTGGTATGTCGGGCATCCGAGCAAATGTGGAGGAGAGCTTCGGCACAAGCTCGTCAAGCGCTTGAGACGCGCGGTGGGTCTGGCCAGGGGTGGCGCTGCGGGGCTGTGGCACGACGGGGTGTCGGCATTGCGGACACCTGAGGCTGGCGGAGACCTCAGGCGCAACGCCATACGATGTCCCAACAGTCCCAACGACACCATGAGTACGCTACCCCCAAACGACCTGGCGGATATCGTGGTCCGGATGTTTGACCTCACTCCCGGTACCACCTGACGATCTGAAGCCACGTCGGTGTGTGGAGCTTCAATTTCGACACCTGCGGGCATACAATGCATGGGAGGTCCTGGCACAACCCCTGGCACTCTTCTTCTTCACTGAGGCGCGCCGGTTAAGGTCCTGGAGTTAATCGGCAACGGCTTAATCTCGGCCTTTTGGGGTGTGGTGGCAGACAGAGCGTGGCTACCACACGTCACTCGCGTCACGCCGTGCTCGTAGAAATGTCTTTCATTTTCTATATTTTGCTTTATCCCGTGATTTCCCGCCTGAAGGCTACACCCACGCCCCGTCAAAAGGCATGCTGGTTTAAGCCAATCGTGGGATGTCTGCCTGCGGCTGCGACGGCCCAGCCTTCCGAAGTTTTCCGGTTCTTGCGCTTGAACGTGCTTGACTGAAGCAACCCCAAGGTGTACTCACGTTTCCTGCAGTTTCTCACTCTTGGCATCATGGAGTCCGGCACTCACTGGCCCAGCAATATCTTTGTTGTTGATGTTTCTGCCCATGCAGTTTCGATCTCGGTGCTGGTGCTGGTGGCGATGACCCGTCAGTGCCCAAATGTGCAACACTTGTGCAACGTGCAACTGAAAATTTGTTGATGGTATGCCGCATCCCCAAACTGGACCCAGTCTCAGACACTGATCCGAGACACTGGTTTAGCCCGTTGAAAGAAATAGAACGCGGAACTGATTCTGTGAACTGTGAGTAGCAAAGTAAAGAGCTCTGGGTGTCGTGCCGCGTGGTTTAGATCTTCAATACATGCCAAGAAATCAGAAGCTGTCTTCGTTTCCAGAAATTGTAAGCCTCAGCTTCCCCGACCACGAGCGGTTCTACTGGACGCAAAAAGATGCAAAAAGAAAAGTCCATGCCCAGCCTGCGCTCCGCTCCTCACATCCCTACCCTCGCACAAATTGCACTGTGGAGTTTGAGTTCTCTTCGATTTTTTGTTGGCTTGGCTTGCAGTGCCGCTGCAATGGCCAATTCTCAATCGACTTACCAAAATAGCAACGTTCGAATCATCTCAAAATGTTTGCAAGCAGGTTGGTTTGAATCCGAGCAAGTTCTCGATTTTCATTTAAGGG